TCATCCCCTTTAAATGTAAGGGAAATAGGTGGAGCAAGAGACTCCCTCAGTTTAACAGCAAGCTTCTGAGTCTGCTCAAAAGCAAAAGAGAAGCATACCAGAGATGGAACAGCAAATGAACAGCTGTTGAGAACTACAAGGGCATTGCCAGAGTGTGCAGAGATGCAGTTAGAAAAGCAAAAGCTCAGCTCAAATTGAAAAGGGCCAGAGATGTCAAAAAGTACACCAAAAGGTTCTTCAGGTACCTAAACAACAAGCAGAAACAGAAGGAAAATATTGGCCTGCTGTTAAACCAGAGAGGTGAATTAGTCACCAACAAGGCTGAAAAGGCAGAGGTTCTCAACAACTTCTTCACCTCTTCACCTTCTTTACCAGCACTGTTGGGGCCTCAGGCCTTGAGAACAGCAATCCAGGTTGATGCAAACACAGTCCCACTGCCAGCGAAGAAAGCATGGGTATGCAAACTGTTACAGGAGCTTAAGCCATACAAATGGACAGGTTGTGATTTTATCCACCCAAAGGTGTTAAGAAAGCTGGCTGATGCTGTTGTGAGGCTGCTTTCCATAATCTTTGAGAAGTTGTGGAGATCAGGAGACATTTCTTCCATAGCTGGAAGAAAGCTAACATCCCCCCTATCTACAAGAAGGGCTTAAAGGAGGACCCAGGAAATTATAGGCCCATCAATTTTACTTCAATCCCTGGGAAAGTTATGGAATGAATCCTCCTGGGGGCTATCAGGAGTCAAATGAAGCACATGACTGTGAAAAGCCAGGGCAAATAATTTTTGAGAAACCCGATCACTTTCTACACAAACTAATCTACTCTACAGTTGATGTTGGGTGAGTGGTGGACATTGTCTACCTGGATTTCTCCAAGGCTTTCGACACAGTTTCCTACAGCCTTCTCCTACAGAAACTGATGTCTATAGACAAGTGGTCTGTGTCGGGGGTGGAGAACTGGCTGACAGGCCATGCTCAGAAGATGGTGGTAAATAGCTCCCTTTCAGACTGGCAACTTGTCAGAAGTGGGGTCCCCCAGGGATTGATACTGGGCCCAATGTTGTTTTCTATCTTCATAAATGATCTGGATCATGGGATCAAGCGTACCCTGATGAAGTTTGCTGATGACACCAAACTGAGTGAAGAAGCAGACACTTCAGAAGGGAGAGACACCCTGCAGGAAAACCTGGATAAGCTTGAAGAGTGGGCTAGCAAGAACCTTATGAAGTTCAACAAGGACAAGTGTAAAGTCTTGTACCTGGGAAAACATAATCCAGGAGTGCAGCACAGGCTGGGATCTACCCGGCTAGGGATGGGCTGGTGAGGGTCCAGGAAAGGACTGGAAAGACCGACGTATGTGGAAAGGCTGAGAGAACCAGGTTTGTTCAGCCTTGAGAAAAGAAGGCTTGGTGGGGAGACCTTATCGTCGTGTTCCAGTATTTAAAGGGTGGCTATAAAGAGGAGTCACATGGAAAAGATGAGGGATAATAGGTACAAGCTACTCCAGGGGAGATTTTGATAGGACACAAGAACAAAGTTTCTTACAATGAGAACAATAAGCATTTGGAAGTGGTAGATTCCCCAATATTGGACAATTTCAAGATTCAGCCAGACCATTTTGTACAGACCATGCTTTTGCCGAGAAAGGTTGGACCAGATGATCCTTCAGGTCCCTTTCAACCTAGTATTTTATGATTCTATGAAATATAGATGTCTTCTAAACATGTATGAAAGACAGAGAATTCAGGCAATTTACCTCCTCCAACATAGATCTTAAGCAATTAATTTAGAAGAAAATGTTTACACAGACACTTAAGGATCAGCTAGGTCAACATTCAGAGAAAAAAAGTACTTATCAGGAATAAATTTCTTCAGCATACAGCAATGGCATATGCACATGTACATACAGCATCTGCCTAAAGTCAGCACTACAATCAAGTCATCACAACTGATTGTGCTAGATTGGTACAGCAAGCTGGTGCCCCATCTTCTGCAAGGACCTGCCCTCAGCTGAAAAGCGTTGCAACGGGGTTAAGAGCACTCAAGCTAAACGTTTTGCTAAAATTCATCATCCATGAAGACAATGGCTAATAGCTCTGATGGACATTATACTATACACATTTGCAAAGAGGTAGAAAAACCAAATTCCTAATTTTGTTTTAAGATAGCCTATAGAGATTTGCAGTACAGCTAGATGATCCTGCAGTACAGGACCAAATACCTATTAAAAACCCCAATGAAAGTCAATAAACTAACTTAGACTTAAGTTAGACTCTTAGCTTATAAGCTCTGTCACCTGTTCAGGACGGTGACACAACCCATCAGAACAAAGCTGCCATTTTCTAATTACAGCTAAGCTTGTAGCAGAGAGACCTCTGTTATACCATCTTGAGCAACAAGAATAGCAGAAATGTCAAAGGAATCTTACTGAAGCAAGAAAACATTGTTTGCCTGCTTCACTCATCAATTTGCATCTACATTCAGATGCAAGATTATGTACACCAGGTTGTATACTTATTTCAAGAAATGCTAGTTGCTCTGATTTCCCTAGGGAAATCTAATGATGGAAAGTTTATCATCTTTCATGTTGTAGCTTGAACAAATAAGAATCACTGTAAATATCCATTCTTTGTTGACAGAGATCTTAGAATGACAGCTGCACAGCTCACCCCACCTGCATATTTTTGCAGAACACATAGGATGGTTGAGGTTTCTTTTTATATTTTTTTTTCCATGCTCTATTTTAGATTTTCGTATTATTCTCTTCCTCTGAGAAATAGGAATGGGCCTGTTTCTTAAGAGATTAGGCATTGTCCTGGCTATACATTGCCACTGAGTAAAGAATATCTGCCAGCTTGTAAATTGGTGGACTCCAGGTAAATCCCTTCAGGTCAGTAAAACAGTGAAGCTTTGGGCTATCTATACACTCTAATTAGAGAGTTAACGTGGATCATTTCTGATTGTTGCATGCAGCCATGCAAAAATATAATTTACAAATTAAACTTCAGTTCTGCTTTTGACCTCCTTTCTCCATCTGTCCTCTGCTACTTCGGCTGTCCTCTTTTCTTTCAAAAGTCATTGGCAAATGCCAGAGGTAAGCCATTATTATCATTTACACCTAACATCACAGCAGCCTAAGACCAAAGAGCTTACAGGTTTGCTCTGCCAACCCAATACAAATGTCATATGCAGAGAACACAAAGATACAGGATCAGAGTCTCATCTGCTGTGCAACCTAGTGTATGAAATATAAACAGATTGAAATGTCTCTTTGATACTGCTCATTTCTCATTGAGAAGTATCATTAAGCAGACTCCTTAGGAAATCTCATCCCTTATCACATCATTGAAAATTAGCACTATTCATAAGGCAAGACCATACACAAACATACTGCTGTGTCCAACACCACATAAAACTCTGTTTCTCGAACACAGGTAGGTTGAACTAGTAGTTCCTCCTGCCCTCCTCACTCCCAGTCCATTTTAAGATCCCAGTGGTGCTTCATGCCTCCTGTAACACTTCCAATATCTTCCTCCAAACCATCCATCCTAGTAACAGCAGCACATCCTCCCAACTACATCTTTCCCTAACTTGTAGCTGCCACATCCTTTCCTCTTCCTTCTGCTTTTAGGAAGCAGAACAAGAGGTGCTTGTGCTCCTGTTGCATGTCTTTCGAGTCCTTGCAGGTCTAAAGACTACCACCAATCTAGACTCGGCACCCTGTGGACTCCTCCTGCATTGGCACGGGAGCTGTAATCCAGTAATTAATCTGGCTGGCCAGACTTCCTCTACAAAGTGGGAATTTATAAGACTGTTAAAATTGTTGAAGACTTTCAGCCTCAGATTCTGACTTCAGCCTTCCCAATGTAAATTTCCACTCACAAAATTGCCTTAATTTCAATTCATGTTGTTCATTTTCGTTTCAAACCACCTATCTGCCACATAAACAACCCTTAGTAGCCTAGACTGATTAGTCCTGACTTTTACTGGTTAAAAAAATCAGCAAAACCGACTGTATAAGGTAGAGGTCTGGAAAGAGTCCTCTATTGAGGCCTGAAATCTCACAGACACTTAAAATTTTTTTACAGGATAAATTTTTCTTGGGGTCTGTGCTCTTGACTCTTTCTGTGGTTCCCAGGGGAGTAAAATGAATATGTGAAGCCCAGTGAGGAACGGTCTTTTACAAAGGAATCACCAGCTCACCAAACTAAACCCCAGCTTCACTTCGCTCTGAGGTTTGCTGAACCTCGGAGGACTTGAGCAGCAAGATCACCTCACTTCCTGATCTTCAGCTGAATGAGACCCAAAATACACACAAACACCAACTATAGCAGGCACTCACTACTTGCAAAGTCCAGCTTTGAGTGGCATCAAATTACATTTTGATAAAATACATTAGGAATGTTGCTCAAACCTCTGTTAAGTCATGCACAGCTGGCACGTTATCTATCTTTAATTTCACAACAGTCTCCTTGTACTGCCACCTTTGCACATCCCAGCCCTTTAAGAATTCATGATCGGCAAAACCAGCATTGGCAAATCTGAAGGACTTCATTTTCCATTTTAACCACAGTCAACCTCTTTTCAATGTTTCCTGCCTACATTGATCTTTCTGCCCAGGATTTCAGATCATCAGTGCTGCCAGGGTAGACATTTGGAGTATACAGCTACCGAAGCTGAGTAAGAAGTAATTCAAGGGTACACTGCAGAAGGTGTCATCACAAATCTCTCCCTCTTCTCTCAAGAGTTCAAGGAAACTCATACCACTGCTAACTCTTCCCTTCTTGCAGGTCTCATCCTCCAAGGAAAGGTTAAAAGCATGGTCAGGAATGATCTAGCAGCTCCTTAGACCTATCAAAGACTGATTTAAGTATGACTCACATCTCATCCATGTCAAGTGGGCAACTTCTGTTGAAATACAGGACATTGTAACATGCACTGGAATACCACCAGCACCTTAAGACAAGAAACACTGCAATGCCACAGCAGCTTAATACTCACACTCAGCAGGAGGCACTTGTTTTCTTTGATGGCGCCTATGCAGCCCACGAAGCCAATGATCATGATGAATGTCCCCGTGACGATCAGTATGTTGGCAGCTGACAGGGACGGGAAAGTAGGGGAGAGGGTGGCAAAGTTCCCTTGGGTAACAGCCAGCCAGATGCCTACGCCGAGGATTCCACAGCCTCCCAACTGGGAAAATAAAGAGAAACAGAAACTCAGTTATCATACCCAAGCAACCCCAGATATTAATGTGTAACAATATGGCAGCAGTAGAATGGCTCTGCTGGGGTAAACTCAGCAGTCACATCTAATAAGAAATGACCTCTCCCTATGGTACTTTACGTAGGGGAAAACAGGCAAGGGAGAAACAAAAAAAATTCTAGAGGGGGAACTCATCAGTAACATGTAACACTCAAGAAAAAGACCCAGATTTCCTAAATCCAAGACACAACTTCAGACAAGTCCCTTCCTCTCTAGTGAAAAAACTGACACTGAGTAAAACAGAAATTCCCAGAGATTTAGATATCAAAGAGACTGAAAAATCCATATTCTATTTAGGTACCTCAGACAGCTGCCCAGAACTGCTGAAGCACTTTTGATCCCCTGCTCTTTCCATCCCAATACACTGTCTCCCATTCCTGGCACATCCCATAAATAAATCTTGCCAGAGCATCCCCTGGTAGCACGTCTTACATCTCTTCTTATTTATTTCCTGTCCATGGTCTAACCTCCCTTGGAAGCAAGAGAACATTTAGTGTGTAAAGGGGCCACAGAAGAAGGGAGAATCCTCCTGTAACATTAAAAAAATCAAACAGATGTGTATTCCTAATGTGGCCACTGGTTTGGAAATTTAATCCTCAGTAGAGGACTTGTCTGGTTTAGGAAAATTTTGAAAGCGAGCGGTAGTACAGCCTCCCCAGGCACGTGAGCAAGTAGAAGGGAGGATGCCAGTGCAAGTAGCAAAACCATAAAATTTACAATTATTATATACACAAGGAACTTCTAAAAAATGCAAACATAAGCATGCTCCTTATAACCGTGAGAAAGCCTACAGAATTGTAACAACATGAGTAAAGCCAAGCAATTAAATAGAATTAAACCAAAGGGGATTTTGCATTATTATAAAGTCACACAGCAGAGTATCACTTAGGTTTCTTTCTTTCCTGCTCTCCCTTTTTATTGAGTTTTATAATTTTTATTGAGTTTTATAATTGCACTTTATTATCCAAATCAATTAAAGGCTAGGAAAGAAATTGTGTTTATAGAGTAGCAAGCCAAACATAGGAGCATATCAATTAAATGTCTGCATAAAGTGGATGAACGTAAGACAGCTCCTGAACCAGGGAAGGAAAAAGACAGAGCTAATCCTCAGAAATGAAACACAGAAGAGAAACACAAAAGCCAAAGCAATTTCTTAGTACTAATTGCTACGGTTGCCTCTGCATGCCGCTGAATTCCCCCTCAACAAGTGACAATAGAGGAGGCTGTGTCTCAAGGCAGGACTCCTCACCCCAGTTGCAAACCTGTCTATTTTGTCAGAACTAAGGAGCCAAACTATACCTCATTGTAACGTACCTCAGCTGCATCAACCTGTGTCTCCCCACTGAGAGCAGGCAGACTTTGGGACACAGGGACTCAAATAATTTCATTCAGCAACTTTTTCACATATAGGCATCCCATATCACCATATTCACCCTTTCAAAAAATACCTTCTACAAGCACGATGGAGGGACAGTCCATGCCCTGACCATATACACTGGAAATACCTCCCCTCTATGCCCACTTATGGACCATGTTCTTTAACACAGTCTAAAACGATTGAAGAATAACCATGGGAGAGAAAAGGGAAGAATACTTAACGAAGGTAACCCACAGAAAATCATTTAGGGTAACTGAGGGGATATAAACAAAAGCTACCAACATGGCCCAAGGGAAAAACCAGGGGGAAAAAACAAACAAAAAAAAGAAATAAATTTCCTATAAAAGGAATAGAAGTCCGAAGGTCTACTGGGCTATAGAACAGCATCAAAGGAGAGGTGGCAGACACCCAAGTTAAAACAGAATTGGTCAGAATAATGAAACAGGGTCAGGAATAGCAGTAACTGGTCAAGGAGTGGGATGGAAAGCATAGCTGTGCTTCTGACTTTGCAGCCTGGTGGGTGTTCTGCCTCAAACCCAGCCTCGGAGCTGCAGGTACAATGAGGCTACACAAATGGCCCAATTAAGCCTAACTAAGGCAGATGCCCAGGAGCAGCAGAGGCATCACCTTGCAATACATTTCGCTATTATCTTCAGTTCTTTGTTCTGAAGCAATTCAACAGCACCAATAAGAGGCAGCTTATTTCACCACCTTTCATGCTCTCCATGTTGCTACACTGCTCTGAGTGATATTTACACCTACAACCATTATGCGAGGTGGGTCTAGCTGAGGATGCTGCTGTGTTAAGTAAAGGCAAGACCTGCTTGCCTGCTCCTCCATCGCCCATTAAATTCTTTACGATGTACAATGCACAATGCTTGAGACATCATTGCCCTTCAGACATTTGATCCCAGCATTTTCTCCCTCCAAAGTCACTCTTTTCTGTAGAAACTGGGAACTCTCCAGTGACGCAAAACATCACATAACCAGGAGACAGTTCGTGCAAAACACTGCAACTATGGATGTACCCATTTAGATCAGGGCTCAATATTTCAGGTGAGCTGGTCAGCAGGAGTATATCTCACTATATTGCCCTGATCCAGAGATACTCTAATAGACACCAGGCTCTCCAGCAGCTCATTATCTTCCCATTTTTGAAAAGATAATGCACAGCTTTTCCTTAGGTGGATTAACGAAACCCTGAAATGCACCAAGGGATCCTCTGAGTATTAAATCATCTGGCTCAAACTAGATTTCATGAAATGCAGCTTAGGAAATGTCAGTACACACTACTGGGGGCTGCTCCACCTTAGTTCAGCCCTGTTCCTTTTCCCACACTAGAACATCCCCTCACAGTCCTTGAATAAAGTCACTACGCTGTCACACCAGGCCCTGGGAAACAGGCTGCCCTTAACTGTAGTCTAAACTGCTCTTTAAAGCTCCCTTTCCGCCAAGGAGTGAAGCACACCCATAAGTCTCTGTTCAATGACCATAATAACACTCAAGCACCTGGTTAAGGAAATGCTTACAGGAACCAAGACCCACCAAGACAGCCACAGGAGCCTTTCCAACAACAGCAGAATATTTTCTATTCCCAAACATTCAAAAAGCTCTCTTCCCACCTCACTCTGAACTGAACAACAGTTAATTTCTCAGTCTAGGATCAGAAGGATCATGTTTATTTATTCTGGATCTGAGTGAAGAGAAAACTGTTGTAGTTGGTCCTATGCTGCCTGCTTTGATTTCTTTGTCTTGGTATCCAAGGAGCTGTTAAGTTACAGATAATTTTACTTTCCTCCACTTTTTCTCTCCCTGACCCATACCCTGTTTATGCCAAACAGTCAAAAGAAGAGTGATGAGATGATAATTCCTGACAGCTTTCAGGGCTTGCCAAGATGTGAAATTAAACAAAACCAAAACCATTAACAGGGCTACTCTTGACAATTTGGGGCTTCTAAGCAAATAGTGTAGCTGTCATGGTTAAAAGAGAAAATGTTAAAACCAAAAGGTAGTGGTGAGTGCAGGGTGACATCTTAAAAAAAAACAGAACTAAAATCTCCCTCAAAGATGTCAGGCTACTGACAATGGCATTTTTAAAATTCCATTGTGAAATAGTTAACACATTATTTGCCAAATTGTTCATGATAATCCACTCCTTTGCAAGCAAGGGAGCTCATGGCAGAATCTGAAACAAAAATGCAGCTTCCTCTTTAACATTTTTTTTTTAGTAAATGTTGCATTTTTTGGTAAAATCTTTAATTCTAAGCCAAAACAGTGGGACACCAGGAGGGCATCATAGCTCTAGGACTTAGGAAATTTGAGTTAAGCATTTGTTCCAGGACAGACCTCAGTGTAAATCTGGAACAGGCTGTTTAGTATGTCCGTGCCTCAGTTGCAGAATCATGAATACAAAGACATGAGTAGTGGGTTCTTTGCAAACCCTAGACTTTGCAATTGGCTGTGGAAGGAGCAGTTTATTCTGCTCAAGACAAATTGCTCATAGACCCTTATACAGCCAAATCAAGCAGTAAAGCGGGTGGCTTACTCTAAAAGCATAGATTCAGACTGTCTCTCCTTCCCCAAGAGATACACAGACACATGTGCACTCCCTCTCTTGGCAGAAAAACTGCCTACAGAATTAGATCCTCCAAATTGTTCTAATGGGCTAGAAAATAAATTATTCAGACTTCAGTGCATACATTTAGAATTGATCTTACAGTATGGTAAACAACGTAATCCCAAACAGCCCCAGATATATGCATGTTGTTGGAGAAAATAATTCTGAAGTTACAGCCACACACTTAAAATACTGCAGGAGAAATAGCTTCATTGTTCATTATAATGGTGCTGGTGTCTTTAAGTGGGTTTTTTATTGGTTTTATTACACAGAAAATGCACCTAATTGAAGCTTCTCATATTGTATCTGACTAGGATCTACCCATCATACTTGCTCTTTTAGATATAAAAAAAATAATTCCTCAAGTATTAAAAAAATACACTGATAACAGAACGCAAGTACAACCAGTTGTTCTGTAGTTAAACTAACTCACATGGAGGGTTTTTCCTCTCCCAGTCTCCACATATTTAAACTAGAAGGGCTTTCTCAATCCACTTGCTATCCAGTCCCTCCAGTGTGAATATGCTTCCTACTCTAACTATGGAGTAAGAGTATACAATTGAAAAATCAACATCAAAGTACTAATAGTAGTGATGTGAACATTACCCAGCAGATGTTCTTGTAATGTAAGGCATACTTTAAATTACTGTTCCTTTCAGCTAGACACATAGAGAAGGTAGAAATGGAATATATATATACATTGACAGGATCAAATGAATCAAGACTCTTGCATGGAAAAAGCAGAAGCGTGTGTGCTAATGCAGGGACTGCGGCTCTCTATACAAGCACTTGCAAACAACCTGTCAGTGTAGCTGCTGCCTATCTTGGAGGAAGGAGTGGAAATCACCCTGCAGGAAAACACCTTCAAGCTGGCAGTCCATGGCCATTAGACTATTGAAGACCTCGTAGACATCCACCTGCACCACACCATCA